TACATAACTTGTCCTATTACATAAAAATCCATCTGTAGAATACCCTAAGGTCCAATGTCAGTTACCTGAGATATAGTAGAAATTCTTCTCACTGGTAATTGTGTTTTTGTCAACAGTCTGTCCTTATGACAAACAAAAACAGATACAGAAGAAGAGATTTTTATGAGCTTTGAATTAAAGTGTAAAAAGAAGAAAAATACATTTGGGTTCACAGTTTGAAGGCCACATCTCTTAAGCATCTTCGAAGTATGCCACACAGAGACTAACCTCGTGACATGGTCTTGGGGGCTGTGCAGGTCCATTTTACATTTACACTGGTTGGAAGTGAGGAATCCCCGACTTCAGTTCAGTTCCTGCATCACACATGGGTTTGGCCCTTCTGTTCTGATACCTGGGAACAACTTTGCTCAGTAATGTGGATATTCACACCAGGAAAGAGGGACTGTGATCATGGTACATCTACTCACTTCCTGCTGTAAGACACTCAACATGTGTTCTAAGTGGAGCAGCCATCAGCACCATCATGACTGCTGTGGTCATCAATGTCTTTCGGTAACCCATAAGAAAAAGCTCGTTACCACATAAATTTTTCCTTTAGGAAGTAGTCAACTCTTGAAAAACTGGAACCAGAGCTGTGGAGATGACTGGCTGTGGTAAGGACCCTGTGACAATGTGATGACGGTCTTGGAGAATCAATGAGGTAAATCAATGGGCACTCTATGAGACAGAAAGAACAACCTTGAGAGAACCTCAGCTGGAAGGTGGTGGTATAAGGCAAGTCTATTATAGCTAAGTCCTGGCCCTTGTTGACATAAAGACAAATCAGGCAGATGTGGGTGCATTTCAGGGAGGGTCCACTTCTGTCAGAAGAGAAGACAGCAAGGCACAGGCCTGTAGTACCAACATGCAGGAGCTCGATGGAGGAGAAACAGGTTGACCTGGGGTTCATGAGGCCCTGTCGTTAAGACAGAGAAAGGAGGGGAGAGTATATATATTGATTCTAGACAGGATCTAGAGCCTGGTGAAGACCAAGCACAGGGGAAAAGGGAGGCAGTCCCTTGCGGAGGGAGGTCCCACTTTCTGTGGCTCTGCTGAAGAGACAGCTTCCTGGCAGAAGCTGGTATCTACCCATTGGGCAAGGCACTGCACCCAAATATCTGCAAGACTGCAACCAGTCCGAGGAGACCACATGACCCCCATATTCACAGCCTTGCTCTGCCTTGGTGAGATGAGGGGCCGGGAACACCCTTCTCTGGGAGGGATCCCACCCTTCAGCCAGACCTTGTAGCACCAAGACAATTCAGGAGCACATGTGAGGGGAGAACCCAGTCACGCTTCAGGGCAGACCTCTCACAGAGAACTCTCTTCTAGGACAGAGCCTTGACCTCAGGACCCCAGTGCTGACAGGTGAGTGTATCCCCAGCAGTCACATGTAAGTCCTCCTCTCTGTGGACAAGGGGTCACCTGTGGGCATTGGAAACAGAAAGCAGAAGGTATGGCTGATGCTAGGGAAACTGAAGAGGGTCCCCAGGCTGAGGGCTGGGGTCTGAGGGAGGATGTCCTTTGACCCAGCCTCTGTTTCCTTGCAGAGAGCATCCCCAAGCCCACACTCAGGTCTGAGCCAGGCTTTGTGGTTGCCAAAAGGATGCGGGTGATCATCTCATGTGAAAAAACACAAGATGCCATGGAATATCATCTCCATAAAAAGGGAGCTTCAGATCACTAGTGCAGACAGATCCCACGGCAGCCTGAAAACCTGACCAAGTTTCTTATACCATACACTTGGCAGTATTATGCAGGGTGATACCACTGTTCCTATAAGACTCATGGTGGTTGTTCAGAGTACAGTGATCCTCTGGAGCTTGTAGTGACAGGTAAGAGTATACTCAGCATCCAAGGCCCAGGCTCTCTGCAGAAAAAAGCCTGCTCTCAGATATGTCCTCCATTAACTGCCCAGCCCTGGTGGGCAGTGTGGCTGTGTGAACCCATTTAATACCCTGTCTCTTATCGTAGGATTCTTCTACAGGTCCTCCAGTGTGTCTCAAGATACCGATATGACAAATTGGTGCTAAAGAAGGAAGGACCACAGGAACGCTCCTGGACCTTGACCCCACAATATATATACACTGGAAAGTACCAGGCCCTGTTCTCTGTGGGCCCTGTGTTCACCAGCCAGAGGTGGAGGCTCAGGTGCTTTGGCTATTACATGAGGAACCCACATATGTGGTCAAAACCCAGTGAACCCCTGGAGCTGGTGTTCTCAGGTATGTAATCCACTGCATCAGTGAAACTGAACATACTCAGGTTCCCAAGCCAGCCCTGGGTTGTGATGGGCGAGGGGATCCAGTGCTCCTGAGCCCTGTGATACAGAGTTTGGGAGACACTGGGACCTGATTTATGGAGGCCTAGGCAGAAGGCAAGAGTGAAATATGGAAGTCAAGGAGAGGTCAAGGAGAGGGATGGTAGTCACGTGGCTTCACTGGTCCTAGAGCTGTTCAGGGGCCAGTTGAAGTGCCATCTCTATGTTTGATGTTTCCTCTGTCCCACTGTTTAAACAGACTCACCTACTTCTTTACAGGGACATTCCAAAAACCCATCATCTGGGCTGAGTCAGGTTCTGTGGTCCCCTCAGAGAATCCTGTGACTATTTGGTGTCAGGGGACCCTGGATGCCCAAAAATATATTCTGCATAAAGAGGGAGACCCAGCACCCTGGGAAATACAGACCCCACTGGAACCAAGGAACAAGGCCAAGTTCTCCATTCAGTCCACGACAGAGCAACATGCAGGGCGATATTTTTGTTACTATGACAGCCCTGCTGGCTGGTCTCAGTGCAGTGACACCATGGAGCTGGTGGTGACAGGTGAGCGGACACTTATGGGTCCCCATCTCCAGCCTCTGCCCTCAGGAAAAGGGATCTGATTTCAAAGGTCCTCTCTCTCATCACAGTCCTAGTGAACAATGTGGGCAGTATGAGTCCATTTAACACATTGCATCCTTCCATCCTAGACATCTACAACAGTAAACCCATCCTGTCAGCCCTGCCCAGCCCTGTGGTGACGTCAGGAATGAATGTGACCCTACAGTGTGTTTCACAACATGGATACGACAGTTTCATTCTGACCAACAAAGGAGAACAGAAGCTCTACAGGACACTG